GAAGCCCAGGAGAGAGAAGAAGCGAAAGGAATGACGAATGGAGAGCGAGAGATCGGGCTTGCGAGATAAAGAAGATCGACAATAATGCTGTCGGTGCACCCTCGATTCTGTGGTACCAGGCGCAGCAGGCAGACATTATTATTGTTTTACTTCTGCATCTCAGACAGAGATCGGCGAATATGCCGCGGAAGGCTGAATACGCGCGCGCCTTCGATGAGCAGACAAAACCCGGAAGAAGGGATTCGCAAGGGAGACTCGTGCTGAACGACAGAGACGCCAAAGATAAAAGTGCGTTAATATCTATCTTTCGTGACTTAGAGAGATTGAATTGTGCAAGATATCATTAAATCTAGAATCAATCATTTCGCACTTAAATTTTACCTATCTTTAATTTTATCGTGTGCGACTTCGAGACTGGAATTAAAACGGAATTAGCGTAGCTGAAAGCGTATTCAAGATGAAAACTCGAGGACTAGAAAAGTGATGAAAAATTATCAACCATGGAAAAAATCGACGATTAAAATCTTTTTACGTACAACTAAACTATTCTTTCGTTTTACATAAAATTCATTTATATATTATATCGAAAGAGTTTCGTATAAATATTCATGTACGAGGGTAGTTCGAAAAATTCTCGGCCTGACGTAGAAAACATATGATTTGTGGCAAAATTTTTTTTTATTTTTCGACATAGTCTTGTAAGTTAATACACTTAGACCAACGATATTCCAACTTCTTTAGAGCTTTAGTACAATACAATTTTTTTAATTCTTCAAAATAAACGTTTGTCTCAGTTGATGAACTCCGTTTATGAAGTGTATCTTTTTCCAGTGAGTCATTTCTTCAGATTCGAAAAAATCATTGGGGCTAAATCTGGTGAATACGGTGGCAGCAATTCGAAGCGCAACTCATGAAGTTTTGCGACTACAATTACAGAAGTGTGAGAAACAAGTTTTCGAGAAATACCCAAAAACTTGTTTGCTTTACTTGATGCAACAGACAAACTACTAACTACACTTCTGTTTGAAATTTTTTCAGAAGCCCTCTTTCAGAAGAATCAAACTTAAGAAAAATCATAGAAAAATCATTTGATACTCTCGGTGCCATCTCTATGTCAAGCCGAGAATTTTCGAACTACCCTCGTAATTATGCACGAAGATAAGGGAATTTCACATTATTGAAATTATTCGAAAATAATTCCGGCTCATATCATATTGTCCTCTCACATCGACATCGTCAATAACATGTTCTCGTAGTATGGTATGCGTATCAGCGATATTGAAATCGTAGAAAGGTATTCGAGATCCCATGTTTCCCCCGCAGTGACGCCCATGCAGGGCTTAGAGGTGAAAAAACAATGCTGCAACGACCCGAACCCCTTTTGCCTCGATCACGATGGAGATCTTCCCTTTCCGCGCGCTCTTATCTTTCTCCTCCCTTTATCTCGCCAGTCTTCTGTCTTTTCTCTTTCTTTTCTTTATCTTCTTTTCCCTTTCACTTGCCTGTTCCCTTCTCGCTATCCTCTAGTGAAAATTCTTCTACATGCCTCTACGTCGTGTCGTTTGGTCTCGCGCAACGCAATACAATGCTACGCCGGGATGCATTGTGAATCAGACTCACCAGATAACTCGACGACGTCGACAACATGACAGCTGTGCGCGATGATATCTAAGCTAAACTGATTATATTTAATTCGGAAAATATTTTTTAGATGAAGTCTCGGGTTAACAACGTATCGATCTCGTACGTTCAATTATTGAATATTATTGAAAATAATATTCAATGGAACTGGGAAAGATAAAATTCATTATGAGGAAATAAAAAAGTCATATATGTAGATTGTAAATGCTCCTTGCAAAAAAAATAACATAATTTTTAGAAATTTAAATGAAATTATGAAATCTCTGATTACTTAGTTAGCTATTCTAATTAAATTTAATTCTTAGAAATAATTTTTGAGTAAAAACATTTTTGAAGATTTTTTTCAAAATTTCTAAACAAATAAATCGCAAAAGCAAACAAAATATGTCGTAACGATGTATCATATTTTTGTTAGTTTATTATTCCGTATAATTACTGCGCAATTAAATGATGTTAAAAGAAGTTTGCAAGAGCGACAGAATTACCTCACTTTCAAGGCAACTACAGCTTTTTTCTCGAGCTATTATAATTGTTTCAAGGGAAATTTGTTCTGTTGATCTATTTTCCATATCTCGTCAAGAAGGAAATGAAAGGAGCAAACGACGCTCTTCGACGAAAGCGTAAAAAATTAAAAAATATATCTTCGTCCTTGTTGGGTTAGATCTTTTAACATGAACTCTTTATAGAAAGTGCGAAGAAAGTGCATTCTTTTCTCTTCGACGTTATAAAAGTATCGACATTATCGGAAGAACCGCTGAAGACTTAAATAACTCTCTTTGAAGAGTGTACGTACGTAGGAGAGTGCTTAGAACGACAACGAAGGGTTAACTTTAATATTGCGTTGTAGCTAATTTATTAAAATGATTTCTGTAGTTAAAAAAACGGAGGTACCAATGATTTTCATTCTCGACATTATCGACATAAAAAAATTGTCTCTCATAAATACTATCCTTTCTATGCATTTCCCTCATTGCATTTATTAATACGCATTTAAAATCTATTTATTATTTTGATTCATTATATATTGCAGTCATTGTATAAAAATCGATCTATAGATAATATATGTAAATGTATATCACAATGAATATATACTATATAATGTAGATACATAGTTAAGGAAGAAATAATGATCGCGTGAAATTTTCAAAGAAAAGTAAAAATTTCAAAAGCAATATTCATAGTTCGTTCTTATATTTAAGACATTCTTAGATATAGATTTTAGATGAATTTAGATTATGTTATAAGTTAATCACAGAGTCGAGAGATATCGTAGATATCTTAAGACATTATTTAAGATGGTCTTGAAATAAAAATGTATTATACCAGCTTAAGTCTCTAATGTAGAGTTCTAGAATTTAAGATATACAGTATGAAACAGGCCAGATTGACAAATCTCATCCCTCGCCGGGACAAGCGGCGCCTGCAGCTCGCGCGATGATTGCGCTGTAATCTGCTTTCGCTTTGCCTTTTCGAGGAACGGGGGGTAGCTGCCGCGTGATTGGCCGGGGGCGTTGTTGGGTCTTCCGTTTCAACCGATACATCGACAACAGTCGAGATACACTTAGGGAGGATACACGCGGGAGATAGACCTCCAAGGAGAGAATAAGGGACAGAGACGTCGGTGGGAAGAGGAAAAGAGATGACGGCAAGAGGATGAAGGGGAAAAAGGACGGAGAGGATGAAACAACCCTCCTGACATGGGTTATCCTATAAACGGCTACCCCCGCAGCAACGCATCGATAATCCGGCCCCCGGGGCCCGCATGCGGTTGAACGCTCGCAACAGTTACCATATTTGATTGCGTACCCTCCTACCCTCCTCTATAAGATCGGAATACGAAATAATATGCTGTACCATGAAGTAATACGAAATAATGTTCTGTACTATAAAGATCTTGCATTTGCGATAACTCGTTATTTTTCTACGGGATTAACATTATCAGTATATAATCAGTATATAATCAGTATATAATCGTTGATAGATCTTAAACAATTGTTTCTGTGTTATGTTAGTTTTTGAATTATACAATATATCAGTTGTAAATAATCAATTATATAGATTTTATATATATAGATTATATATAGTGTATAAGTAATTAATGATAAAATTTATCGTTGATTTATATGATCTGGATTGGTTTAGATATGATGTGACTTATTAAGATGTATGACCTTCTGTAAATTTGACAATCATTTTATATAAAATTATTTTTGTTATAAGCCAATTAACGTGCAAATTAAAATGTAAATTTATATTTGATATTTCAAGGACATATTTTTTATTATTATTGTTAAAATAATTTAAATTTTGTTTCAACCAACTTTACTAGAAAAATAACATACGTTATAATATAATTATATTTTATAAAAAATACTTAGACGATCCGGAGATTTCTTCCCGATTTCATGTTGTTTGACAGAATAATTGTAAGATAATTTGCATTTCGTCAAATCATATATACAAGCAAGCAGAATCGCAAATCTTTCCTTATGATCAGCAAGATCGGGGCAAGCGTCGTGATAAATAAAAAAAAATCAAGGGAGCTGTTCTTTGCTGCTCCTGACGCACCCTGCGGAGCTGTAGCGGTGATGATGGCGGGAAAATGCGGGGGAAAGAAATCGCACGCGTTTGATGTGCCGCCAAAGAGAACGTGCAGGGGTGGGGGGGGAGGAGGGAGAAAGAGAGAGAAGAGGGATAGGAGCGAGGGGGAGGAATATGCCGTCGGTGGCGGAGTAGTTTCGCGTGGGTTGGTCGACTGCAACCACGTTTCTGCGCAATCCCCTGCATCCCCCGCCAACCCCGAACCATCTCTTTCTTTCTCATTCGCTTCGATTTGCTTCGCGTTTCTCTGTTTCTCCTCCACGCTTCGAAGGCCGCGTTTAAACGTTACCGGAAAATTATTACCGGAAAAGCGTTGCACACACGCGTGCGGCAAACCGCGGGACCCACCGACGGAATTACATTGATATTAGTATCGTTTGGCTCGACAGATTAATTAATTAAAACGATCCTCTCCCGCTTGCCGCCTGTGGCCACTCATCCCACACGCACGTATTTGTGTTTCACGCTAGCGCTTTAACATAGAAAGCATACCGAAATATATTGTGCGCCAACAATTGTCGAAGGTTTTCGTCGAAGGTTTTCGTCGTATACGCGAGCAGTCTTTTGCTTGTCTAAATGTATCAACGAAAAATACAAGATGTCTTTAACATTAAATAATTTAAATTGTATAATACAATTGAACATTTCGACAAAGAATCTCATTTCTTCGTAGTAGCCGCGGAAAAATCGAGTAAACTAGATCTAATGCACTGTGCACTAGAAATAGTGTCATAATAATTATTCAAATTTAAACTTACCTTTCTTCGCGTGCAATATATCCGCTGGATCCGGTGGCAAAGACGAACAATGGCTCGGACTCAAACTAGATTGTATCGACGAAAACGGACTTCCCGCGCTCGACGGATACCTAAGATAACAACTGCTCTCAGTAAGAGAGTATACATATTACGCATGCTATAAATAAGATTCTATCAAGAAAATTATTTTAAAAAAAGAAAAGAACTCATGTAATCTCTATAACAGAAATTTATTAAAAATTTATTAAAAAAAATCTTTCCAAGAATTCGGAAAATTTAAAATTTTTCACTTGATTACGGAAATTATCCCGAAACTTCCTATAATTCGTTATGCAATCAACTATTTTTCTTAAACTTAAATCTTAAAGATGAAAAATTGGAAATAAGTTAAAAAGAATCGAAAAAAAGTTAATCCTTGTCTTCGATTAAAGAACACGTATTTTGCATAATAATATCATTCTAACGAGCACATAATTTGTTTGCTAATGAGCCAATAAGTTTTACCAGGGATTGGGTCGCGGCCAGCCGGTAGTCTGTCCGTTTAGTAGCCTGAGTTTATCGTAAACGCTCTCCGCCGGACTGCCGGCACCGACGCCAACCCCCACGGCGCCCACCCCTTGTTGCTGTTGTTGTTGCTGCTGCCTCTGCTCCTTCTGCGCGGCCAGATTCCTCAGTACCCTGTTGATCGAAGACACCTGCAATTCGGATACACATTCGTCAATATATAAACAACTAATTATGTATTGGCATGGTCAGATGAATTCTGCTTAACTTTGGACCCTTTGATATACATATCTTGCATAGTTTGATACATTTCACGACAAAGTGTTACGCACGAGCAATACTTTTTATTGCATCGAGGAAATACAGGGAAATGAAAGTCTTTTTAGTTAGACTTTTACTGTAATTTAATTTAAATTTATACATATTCTTATTCTTACTTTCATTACATTTTATATACCTAGTAAAGAAACGTGTCTTGAAAATTTTTATATTCATATTACTCATTATATTCTTTATGTTCTTGCTCATTCTTTATATTATTGCTTTCTTTATTTTATTTCATTTATTTTATATCTATGTATTTTTTAATTATAGGTATTTTTTTATACTGTATACTATGCGTTCGTTAACTGTTCTTATTTTTTTGTTATTTTTTGCTACTGAATGTCTTGTTTACAAATCTGTATATCCTTAGAGGGTTTACTCTAGAGAACAGTAATAAACATTATTTCTCTCTTTCTCTCTCTCTCTCTCTCTCTCTCTCTCTCTCTCTCTCTCTCTCTCTCTCTCTCTCGCTTTCTCCTCTTCCCGATGATATCGGATTTATTATAAATACGAAGTATGCAGAGAGTGATGAAGATCCTTCGGGAAAGAGAGAGAGAGAAGCAGGAAGACGCTTCTGCCCGATGAAATGCGACGAGAGTGGTAATTAAAACGATGTGGTGAGCAGCTGCCGGCGCGGCGCATTGCACGAGGGAGTTAATTACCTCCGCCTTCAATTATATCCGTCTCTGCGCCACTCCAGGGGGACTTGGCTTCTGCCGACGTAAGTACGTAAGCACTCACGCGTTTGCGGCGCGAGTTAACGCTTTCTACGCACACATCCGCGTACCGAAATTCGCGATCGCTCTTAACTCTTAAGTGAGTACTATAACACAATATATTGCGTTCGATACTATCGCAATATGTAGATTTCAACGGGAAATCTACGCAGGAACAAGTTTCAAGTCGTGATGTATCCTATAATATATATACGTACATTGTTAATTTCTTAATTGTTATGTTAACATAAAAAAAAGATATATATTATTAATTCCTTTTTAATTCCTTTTAAATATATTTAATGGCGTATTTTACTTATTAACTTTTTAATTTCGCGTTAAATTTTTAATTCTTCTCCAATTCTCACTTACTTTTTTCTATCTTTTCCACTTGCATCAAGAGGTTGAAAATTAACGAATGTTATTTTTCAGAGATATTTTCTATCACAGACTCGTATTATTTGATTTTTATTCAGAAATAAATTTTTTATATAACTGTACTCTCTTGCGCAAAATGAAAACAAAATTAAAAATCGAGCTTTTTGTTTGCGACATCATAGGAAACCATTTATTTTGCGCGTGTATATGCGAATGCGAGCACGATGAAATATCTACGGTGCGAAGAATTTACGATCTCCTAAAGACAGGATCGCTCTTTTTATTTTCGTATCTTTTATTTGTCTTCTTCCGCGGGCTGCGTTCGTCGCTTCTGTCACTTACAGCTCGTATAAATCCCGACGGAGCCGTAAAAGAATTCTCACAAAACTAAAGCGGCAGGTCCTGCTGCCGATAGTTTTGCAATTTATTCCTTTACACTCTTGTATTATGCCATGCACGTCGCGGCAAATGACGCCGTATTAAGAGGATGCATTATAAAAGGATGAATTCTTCAATTTTGATCTGCCATTAAGAGTAACGAGAATTAATGTACTCACAAAAAAAAAGTTTGTTCGAGATTCGCTTAATTGAGAAATGAATGTGACAATATAACTTTTTTGGAGCAATATTTATAACATAACGCACTGAAAGGACTAAGGGACGTTTCATTTTTAGTTTAGACATTCTACATAATTATTTTAATGGTCCAACAAAATTATTTTCAGATCTGCATCTATTTAAATTTGTAGACATTTCAGCAAAATCATTCTTTCCATTTAATGACAAAATATTATAGAACGTTCTTTAATTGTAAAAATAATGGCCTCTCAGGAGAATATTTATTTTGTAATTGTTGGAAATTTTTTTCACGTTGATTGGATTATACTTTTAGATCTAAAGGAATAATCCTATTTCTTAATAAAGAAAATTTGCAACAAAAAAATTTATAAAAAAAAAAATAAATATTCTGTTGAACGCTGCCTATGCTTGATTCTTTTTGTAAATCTTGAAGTTAAATTCTTTTTAATTTCATAGTTAGTGACACCTTTAAAGTAAAGCAAATTAATTATTCCTATGAACTTAACACACTATTTTAATATTTCGATATATAATCGATAAAATTCTGACCTTCTTTTATAAAGAATCTTAAAGTATCCTAATGCAATCTATCAGTCGATAAATCTGGAACGGTTTCGGTAGATAATTTTTCATGACTATTCGTCGCATCTTGATTATATTGCACGCACCGGATCAAAAGGCAGGAGACACGAGAGAAATAAACCGAATGACGGCGGTACCAGCCGACAGAATGCCGGATCGGTCATAGGAGATATTCGTTCCCCGGGGTTTGTTAGACCCGATGTCAGGGTACCACGGCGTTGAAACGAGCTGACATCTCGGACCCACCACTGGAGCGGAGCGTCATCCCCCTCGGCGCCCACGACGGCCACCATCACCATCACAACCGCACGATCTCGTCGTGTCTCTCCGCCGCTGACGCGAAAGAGACGTCACCGGCACTCACCCCTCGTCTTGTCGCCAACATCCACCGATGTCCGAAACATCCTGCCTTCACGTACCTCCAAAGATTCAAATGCCTTCCGTCAACAACCTCCGTGATATAGAAAGGGATAGAATAGATAACCGGTAGATGACGAGGATCAAAAACACTTCATTGTGTTTCATTTAATTATAAATGTCCGACCTTTTTAAAAAAAAAGTATTAAAATATAATTCCTTTACAAGTGCAATAAAAAATACGAAATTTTATACAATATACTTTTCTAAAACCAAAATTAAAGTATTCAAATTGGCAAAAAGTATGATTAAAGTTCTTTCACAATAAATAATTAAATTTTAATAAGACATAAAGAATATATTTTATGTAAGGTCGCAAATGTAATATATTTTCTTGATTTTATATTATTATTTTTTTATGATATTCAGAAACTTGATTTTAAATTGTACTTTTATCATGTGCTTATCGAAACACAGAAATATCCATGCAATCTTCCAGATTAGGCAAGCTGATTCGTCGATGATTCCAAGCTGCGCCTGTGAAGTTGGCCGATGTCGAAACTGATCCACAATGAAAAAAGTCGTTGTCGTGCACAAAGAAGCACTTGGCGACAAAGCCAGAAACCCAACGAGCGACGGCTGCCTGTCAAGGGACAATCGGCGCCTCGCGTGACATCGAGTGTCCGGGCTGTTTGACCGTTTTTTGATTGACGTCAAACCGCAAATATCGTGCTGGCTGCTTCTCAATCGTTGCGATATATTTACGACGTGTGTCACCCTCGTTATTATTCGTAGAAGTCGTTGTGTCGTGGAAATCGACACCACAATAAGCCTGCTTTTGTAGCGAGCCAAGCAGGCGCTTTGCAAAACCACAAGGTACTTCCATATCGCGACACTTCCTCCTTGGACCAATCTCGAAAGTGGAAGGTTCTTCTAGACGCATAAGCTACTCCACTTCTGCATTAAATTTTAATGACACGTTGTTTGCTTTAGAGCCAATTTTTATGAAACGGGATTCAGAGATGCTTTAACAAAGGTAGACTCTTAATTTAAATTCAAACGGATTATGGTTCATTAAAATGTAAAAAATTTGAAACTCCTCTAGAAGCTATTTGTTAGTCAAAATTAATTCAGTGTTGCTTTAAACGCTGGCATTTCATCGGAAAAGATTCAGATGGATAATGAAAGGCACGTAGGACGAGGATTCGTAGCGTTTTATTGGCTCATTGTCGACAATGGGATTCCCGACGCATTTTTACACGGATACAGAGTCGTGCGATATGATAAGCGAATAGCATAAAAGGAACGTAGATATTATCCTTCATCCGCGCGCGGCCCGCATAAAGGCGGACACGCGGCGAGGGCTGAAATCGTGACGCAAGAGGAAGAAGCCGACATCAGGTCGATGAAATTAGCATGAAGTGTGAAGAGTTCGAGGGTGGCCAATCTTTTAAAAAGGGTGCTGGATAGAGACGTCATAATATTGCTCTCACGTGACATCTTCACGATGGAAATCTCTTTCGCAAAAGTCAGCGAATTATTCTCAGGAAACTGCGGCATAAAAATTGCAAAATAAATCATAACCATTATAGCAATAAATATCCCTTTTATGATATTCGAGACTTTTTCTGAAGATAAATCAAACTAATTTAGAATTTACAAGGAATATAATCTATATTTATATATAGATTATATATAAGCATATATATTCCTTTATAAGTATTTAAAAGCATTTAATTTTATATTATAAATAATATAATCTTTTTGGCAAAATAAATTCCCATCTTCTTCTCTTTTCATTTAATCTCCGATTTTATTTTTTTTTCGTCTGGAAAAATTTCCGAATTCGCTCTTTTGATGTGCATCCAAGCGTATGTTTTTCATTAAAATTTATTTGTTCGGAGCTTATACTATTCTTATATCTCTAGTTGTGATAAATAAAATTTGATTTCTCTCGTTGAACACGGACAAGCAGGACAACTTTTAATCGCCATGTCATGATATCACGGTGACGTTAAGAAATGTATATAACACGTATGTTATATACGTTATCTCTTAACGCATAAGGACTTCGTGCAAACGGAGAGGCTGTAATTTTTACGAGTGCTTATTCGCGGTAGTCGCGTATTTCCTGCTCGGGCTCGTTCATATGTATGTATGAGTCGAGGGTGTTAACCGTGAAGAGAACGGAAGAACACGAAGGGTGCCACGACTTTCTCTTTTCCTCCTTCCATTCAGACTACTTCCGTTATCCT